TTGGCCAGAAATGGGGATGCCAATTTGCGCTGCGTTTGCAAACGTGTGTGTGTGTATGCAAGCGGAAATGTAGTTGCAATAGCTCTACCTGAAAAGAAATCCAATGCATCTCAACTTCAAAGCCTCTGTCAAATAGAAGGACACCTTCAAAGAGAGGACTGACCTCCATAGGTGAGGACACCTTATCACCTAAATAAGGATTCGCCAACTTTCTAACTACCCCGTCACGCTGGCTCTGCAACTTAACACATAAACAACTCAGGAATAAAAATGACAGCCTAAATGTATCCCTTCCTTGTGGAAGTGCAACTTTCTTTCCTAGAACCATTTGTGGTCAGATGCGAAGGAGATACTCAGAACAGAATTTCAGAAGAAGTTTCTCTTTCCAAGGGGCAGCTGTGTCTGTCGGTTGCAGCAAAGCAACAGAGTGGCTTGCAGAATCTTCCTGCTTGCTAAAGACCCCTCCCAAGCTGCCACAGGCCAAAATCTTAGGAGTGTGCCAGCTTTCCCAAGAGCTTGGGCACTTTTCCTCCCGGTCCTACCTGCAGAGATCAAGGATGGGACCAGGGTCTTTCCACACAAAATGCAAATTTCCACAAAATTTTGCTGATCCTGCTGGTCAGCAAATTGCTACTGCCTGCCCCCCTCCCTGGAAGAGAGAGCAAAGAAACCAAATACGGGCAAATGCTGCCACCGCTGTGATGTATGGGGGGGCGGTCATGTGTAGAGGCTCTGCAGCATGGCTAATATAGGACGGTGGTCCTGGAAAGGGTAAATGGACCAGCAATGCTTCTTGCACAGCCCAAGGTGATGGCTACTCCATGGATGCGGCGCTTCTGGCTGTTCACAACCTGCTTTTAAGGGAATCTTTGGCTGCATGAGGGCTGGAGGAAAAGGGTTGAAACAGTGGATCTCCTTAAGGAAAACAACCAAGCCAAAAATGTTTGTGACTTCTGGGAATTAATCAATATAATTTAACAAGCCACTTACCAATGAGCAATCAGTGATTTCCTCCTGGGCACTAGGACTTGCACCATTAATTTTATTTTCAGATGTCTGCGCCATTCAGACATTCTGTTTCAGGAATGCCCAGATGTTCAACTCTGATGCATAACGATTATTTTTATTTTGTATGACTCGGTCTTCTGGCTCATGGCCTTCTTCTTATGTTATTTCCTTGCCTCTGTTACTTTCACTTTTGAATACTGATTGGCTATTTGTGTGAAAGGGCAAAAAAACTAAGCAAATAGAGACGTACAGACATTGGGTCTCCAGCTCTCTGGAAAGCTTTCCTGGTCTGCTTTTTGTCTTTAATAGCAACTTGGTTTTGCAGAAAAATATCCTTCCATCCAAAAGAAGACAAGAACTGCATCCTTGGAATTTCTCAACTGAGAATCTTGAGTATCAGAACTGGGATCTTTCAGTTAGTGATAGCTGAGAAATTAATTTCAGCCCATTTTTAATATAATTTACTCAGTTCATGTCTCCTGGAACTGAATGCAGAAGTAAACACAATCTGAAGCCAAAATCTATACTTTTCTGAACTTGTGATTTAATTACATTTTTATAAAAATGGCATTCAAATGCATACATTTGAAAAATGCTTACAGACATATGTTCTCCTGAAAAATACACACTGACGCTTTTATCAATGGGAGAAAAACGCCCCCATTGGCAATGCACACAGCTGAGGTGTCCACCTGGGGAAAGGAACACAAAAGCTTGCATGCCTTTGCACGGCTGCTTCCCCATCTGATCACGATGCAAGTTGGAACACGCTTTGGGGTGGCATTTGTTGTTGTTAGTCGCAAAGTCGTGTCCGACCCATGGCAACCCCACTGACAACACTCCTCCAGGCCTTCCTGTCCTCCACCATCCCCCGGAGTCCACTCAAGCTCACACCCCAGTGACTCCATCCAGCCACCTCATCCTCTGCCGTCCCCTTCTCCTTTTGCCATCTATTGTTCCCAGCATTAGGCTCTTCTCCAGGGAGTCCTTCCCAAATGCAGTTTTGCAAGCATTCAGAATGGTCTCCAGGACCACCTGGGAGTCACTGGAAGGCCTGATGCGCCAAACCCAGTTGGTTCTGGTGGCGTGCTCAGTGAGTGCGCGTTTTCATCCCCTCCTGTATCTTAGTATCATCACTCAAAAACAAGGCTGCAAAGCTGTCCAATTCCACGCTCTCGCGAACTTCCTTTCCCTGGCATCCGCTCCCGTTTTCCATTTCTTGGCATTCAGGTGAACACAGCCTGGTCGCACTTTATCAAGAGATCTAGACTGTCTACTGAATACGTAAAAAGCAGCGAGGAAAACAGATTTTTTCGAGCATGTCTGGGCCTGCAGAACATTCAGCGTACTTCACATTTGGCAAAGCGATACTGAAAGAGCCTCCTTGGAGTCACATTCAGCCAAAGTCCGCTGTAGGGCATTTAGCAAGGCACCGGAGTGAGGCTGCAGCATGGACTTCAGCCTGAAGCAACGCCTGATCACGCAGTGGGACGCAAGGGTGCTTCCGCGGTGTGAGGAGTGCAGCGGGAGGGCTTTCCTGGGGCCGTGTCCATTCAGGCTGCAGGACCGCAGGGTTCAGTAGCCCCTGTGTAATAAATACAGACTAAAGGTAAAGGTAAAGGTTTCCCCTTGACGTGAAGTCCAGTCATGCCTGACTCTAGGGGGTGGTGCTCATCTCCGTTTCCTAGCCGAGGGGGCCAGCGTTTGTCCATGGCCATGTGGCCGCATGACTAAACACCGAGGTGCACGGAACGTTGTTACCTGACCACCAAAGTGGCACCTTTTTATCTACTCACATTTGCATGCTTTCGAACTGCAAGGTGGGCAGGAGCTTCAGTGCAGCCGTCGCCTGGAGCTCGGACCCCACAGCTCCTCTGCAACGTGAGGACACCAGGGCCATGTCAGCGAGTCCGGGGTGGGCTGTCGCAAAATGGCCTTATTGAAAGTGTTGGGAAAATTTGGATAAATCCTGTCTGAAAAGCATTACTTCTGTGTGCTTTTTGCATTGTGGGATCAAATCCTGTACTTCTCAAACCAAGCTAAGTCACTGTTTCAAATGGCCTTCATCCCCCACTCCTTTCTCTCACCTTTAGCTGTAAGCTACAGTACACAGGTCATTTAGTCTGAATTTACGTTGTATACCTTCACAGTGATTAAATAGCCATTGTTGGAATTCAGTTTACAAGGAAGTGTCTTTTGATAGCCCAGAGGCTCCATGTGCCCTGGCCAATTCAGAATGTCTAGAGTAGATAAGAGTCTTGAGTTCATGCATAGTTTCTCAGTAGCTTGAATTTACATGTCTTAAGCAGACCTGGAGATGGGTTCCAGCTACTTAACTAAAGTGTCAATACAGGCAATTAGAAATATTGTGATCTCATTGTTACAGTGTGATTGACTGACATTTCTTTATCTGTTCTGTATGTGGTGACCTCAGAATCTTATTGCAATCTCTGCATTCTGCCAGCGATTGCCCTGTACCTGTGTGCCTATAAATGCCCTGCAATAGTATTGAAGCTTTGCAGAAGAGTTCAGCTCTGCCTGCCCGGTAATGCATTATCATGAGTACGCACCTGCGGGGAACCTGGGAAATACAATAAAGCCTCAGATGGTCTGGACACTTGGTCTTTCTCATGAACCAGAGTTTTGTTCCCTCTTCTCAAATTGAGATTCCGGGATTCTGACAAAAGCAAGGGTGGTGGCATCTTTGGCCTTAGCATTGGAGGGCAGCTTGAAAGACGCTCGGATCAATGCAGGTTACTGGTGCTTTAATGCACATGATCAAAGAAAATGCTTGCACACTGCTGTGCAGCAGCAACCCTTCACATTGGCAGTGCGAGTGCAAATAAGTGAAGATTAGGGGGCCGGCTTCCTCATGCAGCAATCATAAACTGGCTGGAGGGAGGTTTAAGGCAGATGAAGGGAGGCCCTTCTTTGCACAGCGTGTAGTTAAGCTGCATGTTTGTGGTATTTGCAAACCGAAAGGTATTCTCCTGTGCATTTCCACTTGTTTCTGCTGAGCTTTGCTGCTGCGGTGAACAGGGCCCTCGTGTGGGCATTGCGAGAGCCACTATGGGGCACCGCAGGCCATTTCTTAACAAACACAGGAAGCAACCGGGAAATTCCCGTCAGCCTCCCTGAATTCCCCTCCAGCGAACACTTTGCAGCGGAGCTTCCTCCTCCTGCCCAAGGACGCCCAAGCCCGTTCCTGCTGATTCTCAGGACACTGCGTGCCCTTCTCTTATTTCCCTCTGAAAAGCATTGCTCAGAGGACCACAAGTTCAGGCAAGCTAGCAACAGACCGGTCACTCCTGCCTTCTTCCTAGCTCTTTTTGGGGTCCCTCGTGCTTCTCTGCCCATCTTTATTTAATCCATTTATTTATTTACAGCATTAAAAAAGACCATGCTGGAGAAACGCTGCTTGCGGTGCTGGGTTCCGTTATCCCCGGAAGCATTAACAAGATCTGTTGTGACCATCTCAGTCCTCCTCCACTGACGCCTTGGTGTGTGCAGGAAAGAACCACGGGGAGAGGGGATCAAAGGGGCTTCCCAACAGGCAAAGCTGGACAGTTATCTTGCAAAGGGCCTGCCCAAACTCCTCCAGGCTGTTGCTTCACTGGCTCCAAAAGTTCTCATGATGCTGAACAAAACAGTGCCTAGGAACACTGATGGATTGGACTCAAAACTCTACCTCCTGAATGTCCGTCTGTCTCTCAGCTTGTAAAACGGAGACTGCTGAGTAAGGCAAACTAGCAGAGAAGGTGTCTTGAAAGCTTCTAGTTGGACCACAGTGCCATTTCTGATGGCTTGATCTGGCAGTGCCGCTCCGATGTTCCCAGTAAAAGCACCCCCAACTAAGTGGCATAGTACGGGAGCGTTCCCAGTCAGAGTGCCAGCCAGGCCTTCCCTCCAGGCAGGGCATCCCACCCCACCCCACCCCAGCCCCAGCCCCAGACCCAGACCCAGCCCCTTTCGCATTTTTCCTAGAAATATACTCAGTGCTATCTCTGGCTTTTGGAGGGCCCTTGGACAAGATGCCTTCAATGGTTCCCTCCCCCAGCAAGTCTCCCTTTTCATTGCCCAGCTGCTCTTCCTCCTCCTCCTCCTCCTCATTACCATTGTCGTCGTCGTCCATGGTGTCCAGTCCTGCCTACCTTTGACACTGGTCCAGTCTGGGCCTTCCGGCACCCATGCTCCCTCTGCTGTTCCCATACAACCACCATATAAAAGTCCTTAAGAGCTTCAAGCAGAGAAATCCCCAAGTGAAAGTTGGCCACAAGACAAATATTGAGAATTGCAATATTAAAGACAAGCGCACACACACTGCACTTTTCAGGATGATGTGTACACATTCAGTGGCTTGTTTTACGAAGTTCAAACCGAATATCCTCACATCTTCCGCAAAAGCCGCGTTCCCTCAGAAGCGCTGACAGATTGCCTTTTCCTTGCAAAGGCTGGCCACGCTATGTTCTTTGCATGGCCCCTGATGACTTTTATGATTTTGCAATTTAGGTTTACAGAGGGGCAAGAGTGATCCTTCGGTGAAAAAACCCCCATTGCTACCAACAGGGGTTTTTCCCAAGAGCAAAGTTGCCGTCCTGTGCACCTTTACTTAGCTGGAAATCTACTGGAATGCACCTTTACTTAGCTGGAAATAAACTTCCTTCAACTCTGTGTGACTTCCAGCAAAATATACACAAATTTAGTCTCTGAGCTTGCACTAAGTGCCCTCAACTGAGAGCTGGCCCCCATTTTGGGGCGGGGGAGATGCAAAGGCCTTTGGTACATTCATGGCTGTGTTGAACCACAGTGAAAGGACTCTGTCCAGCTTACAAGATCTACACTGGGTTTTTGTTTTCTCCTACAGCCCCAATTCACTAATAGAGGCACAGCAGTAAAAATCAGCAACTGCTGAGCCCAGGCCTGTCTTTGGAGAGCCGGAACTGAATGGAGCTCACGGTCCTTCTGCACAAAGAGCCCCTCCTTCTTGGGGCAAATGGTCCTCATGTCGGAAGTATAATTGAGGGCAGGAGCTATGCCATTTACTTATCAAAGGGGGGGCACGACAGAATTGTTGCGAGCTGGTTCCTTCCTTCTGGATCCAGAACTCCAAACAGGCCTTTGAGGTGCCGCTCTCCTCTCGTGATGGGCCAGCAGGTCGGCTCTGAGCGAACGCTCGCTCTCCACACGGCCCCGTGCTTGTCAGCCCTGCTCAGCTCTTGCAAACGCACGAGGAGGAAATGAAAACTCTGGTTCAGACCTCCGCTGCTCTATTGGCATGAACCCAGGTTCCCCGCAGGCCTGACTCACGAGAATGCATTACCGGGCAGCCAGGGGCAGACTCAGCTGGAGGTTTCAGTGCAAGTACAGAGCATTTTATACTCTCCTGGTCATGTACATGGGTACAGAGCAATCGATGGCAGAATGCAGACCTTGCAATGAAACTCTGAGGTCATCCTATACAGACCAGAAAAGGAAGCTCAGCCAAACATACAAGTGGCAATACTTCTAATTGCAGTGCATTGACATTTCAGCTGAGTAAATTCCAGAAACTTAAACTCATTGCTGGGTCTGCTTAGACATGAAAATTCAGGCTATTCAGAAATCTTGCCTGAAATCATTAGCCCCTGTGTTACATTCCATTATCAGGAAGGCTGAGCCCCTTTCTGACTGGCCAGGGTGCATGGAGCACTCTGAGCTAGCAAAATAGATACACTTCCAGGTAAACTGTGAATTCCTACAGGGAACATGTAGCTACATTGTGAATATAATGTGTATATAATGTATATTCCACTGAATGGCCTGTATGCTCTGGCATACAGCTAGAGGTGAGAAGAGCAAGAGGAAGGAGCGGGGAAGAAAATATTGCCTTTTCCTAAGGCAATTGGCAATATTAAACAGTGACTTGGCTTGGAAAGACAATGCTTTCGAGAAGGAGTGCAGGTTTGAATTTATAACACAGAAGCACACAGAAGCAATGTTTTTCTGCCAGGATTTATCCAGATTTTCCCAACACTTCCTAACAAAGCTGATGAGAAGTCTCTGCTCATGAGAAGAGTTGAATCCAAGCGGGAATCTTCTCTGTCAGTAATACTTCTGGCTCCATCCTAGGAGCAGCCCTCCGGCCCTCCCACTGAGCAGCTGGTTTCCCCAGATGCCCCCACCCCCCAGCGGGGTCAAGGACCAGCTCTTGCACCTGCTCTCCTCCCTCCCTAGAAACCTTTCCTCCCCTTCCAAAACAGGGGTGGATGCTCACACTCGGCCCAAGGTGCCTCAAAGGCTTTGTCCCTCCCCACCCCACTCCTGTGCAGAATCTGGCCCTGACCCCCACTGAAGAGCCTGCAGTACACGAGAAACTGACCCTACAATAGTAATATTTCTGTTGTTGCCACTGGCGGTGAAAGATCCCAGATGGTTGGCGAATTCTGTACAAATTTACCAGGCGTTCCAGCTCCATTCGCTGCCCATCGCTGGTGCAGACAAGGGGGTTTCTCTGGCTGGGCTTGCAGAACAAGCCAAGCAAAAATACAAGCACATGCCTACCAGGATTCCCTCTTCTAGGCAATAGTTAAATGTGCAGTAGCCCCGGCTTTTTTCTCCCATTCTTTTCAAACCATGTTATCCCTCCCTCCCCCACTGTAGAAATCAGCATGCAAACAAAACTGCAGTCATCTTTCCTGCAGCATTTCATAATCACCAGGTGGCCCAGGATGCTGGGAGTTGTAGTCCAATGCATCTGAAGGTTGGGGAGAGCTAGTGTATTTCTTCCAGAACATATTTCCTCCCTCTCTTCTTTTCTGCTTTCCCAGAAACAGAATCCTGCACAAACTGGCGCGTACCAGAGGATCTAGGGAAAACTTTCTTTCATGCCAATCACAGAAGCTCTTCGGGTGATTCATGACCATTAAATTCAGCACAAAAGGCATTGTAAAAGTTTTCAGCTGCAGTGTGGAGCACGTTGAACTTGGGCTTGGGAGATCTGGTTCTATTTCCCACTGAGCTGTGAAGCCCACCAGGGCCAGCCCCCAACTTTCAGCCTATCCTACCTTACAGGGTCGTTGTTGCAAGGATAAAATGGAAAGAGAAGGATTACATAATCTGCTTTGGATGCTTTGCAGGAAGAAAAAAAGATGGGAGATATGGGAAATAATATAGAAAAATAATTTAAAAATAGTTAATGCCAGAGAAAAGCCTAGCAGCAGTAAAAGGACTGAAACACTGTAAGGGATGAAAACAACAGAGACCGAATGACTAAAATCCCTTGGAAATGAAGAAGGTGGCATGGAAAAACAGCATCGCTGCAGGGCAAGCCTCCCCGTCTCTTAGTAGCCCTTGGCATGTGGAAAGAGACAATTCTTCACTCAGCCTGACCCCAAGGCATCGAAGGCCTTGAAGATTAAAAGTGCCACTTGAAACAGACCCTCACTGGGTCGCTCTGACCTGTCCCCGTGCCTCATTTAGGGCAGGCTCAAGTTTCCAGAGCGCGTGCAAAGCCCCGTTGCAAGGCTGCATTGACCCGTGGGGCGCTAGGACCCGGCGGCTGCCTCCCCGCCGGACGGGCCCCCCCTTCGATCTTCCCGGAGCGCGCGGAGGGTGGCGTGCTGGCAACAAGTAGCGAGACCAACGCAGCTCCAGTGCGCATGCGCGGCCGCGAGGCCGCAGCGGCGCCGCCGCCGACGATTGGCCCCGAACAGCTTTTCCACGTGGGGGAGAGCCTTTTCGCCAGCCAGTCAGGATGGCCGAGCGGTCTAAGGCGCTGCGTTCAGGTCGCAGTCTCCCCTGGAGGCGTGGGTTCGAATCCCACTTCTGACAAAGCGGTCCTTTTCTTTTTCGCCCTCGCTGCGCACGTGGCCGCGGGCCTTTCCTCCCGTCCTGCGCTCGGACAAAGACCCGCGAAGCTGGCGGGAAGGGGCGAGGGAAGACCCGCTCCACCAGCGTCCGCTAGGCGGAGCCAGCCGCACCCGCTTGACTCCGCATTCCGCGGCAGCCCCGTGTAAACGCGCCCTCGAGCCAGATCCAGCGTGGGGAGCTTTGAAAGGACCCTTTCAGTCCTTCGCTCCTGGCCGAGATACTATTTTGCAAAGCTCTCTGATGGTGTTTCGGGTTATTTTGCCCCCACAGCCTAAAGACCCCCTATGCATCCCCTAGAAGAACAGCCAGTGAATGGGGCAAGGCAGGGGCAACGGAAAAAAAAATGGGATCGCCATTCATTGGCCCACCTCTGGCTGCACAATACTGGGAGTTCTAAGCCCTTTTTCTGCCTAAGCAAAGGTAAGATTGCACTTTTGCTTTTATTCTATGCTGCCGGTGTTCCTGCAATGCCTCGTGCATGTGCAAATGTGCAAGAAATAGCGAAAAAGCAGTATCTGTATTTTACATGACTTCAGTGCCTAAAATGGAGCTGCTGAATTGAATATTTTTGAAATCCCACCGCCCGGCCTTGGTGACTGGCCAGTCGAAGCAGGCAGTGAAGTGACAGCAAGGTGCATTTGGGAGGAATGCCAGGCAAGGGGGTGCCGAACGTCAAGGCTGGGGGCCAAAGCCGTCCCTCTAGAGTTCGCCAGAGGGCCACACTCACTTTCCCACACCGGCCAAGCATGGTCATTCCTGGCTTTTGTGCCTTAGGAAGTCTGAGCAAGATCAAAGCTAGTGGAGGTGACAGTATTCTGGCTGAGCTATTCGAAATCTAAAAAGACGATGCAGTAAAAGTGCTACACTCAATATGCCAGCAAATTTGGAAAATTCAACGGTGGCCACAGGATTGGAAAAGCTCAGTTTACATTCCTATCCCAAAGAAGGGCAATGCCAAAGAAAGTTCAAACTACCGCACTATTGCACTCATTTCACATGCTAGCAAAGTGATGCTCAAAATCCTACAAGCGAGGCTCCAGCAGTATGTGGACCGAGAACTACCAGAAGTACAGGTAGGATTTCAAAGAGGAACTAGAGATCAAATTGCCAACATACGCTGGATCATGGAGAAAGATAGGGAGCTCCACAAAAACATCTACTTCTGCTTCATTGTCTATGCTAAAGCCTTTGATTGTGTGGATCACAACAAACTGTGGCAAGTTCTTAAAGAGATGGGAGTACCAGACCATCTTATTTGTCTCTTGAGAAACCTATATGCGGGTCAAGAAGCAACAGTGAGAACTGGACACGGAACCACTGATTGGTTCAAAATTGAGAAAGGAATTCGGCAAGGCTGTATACTGTCGCCCTGCCTATTTAACTTATATGCAGAGCACATCATGAGAAAGGCAGAGCTAGATGAATCACCAGTTGGAATTAAGATTGCTGGGAGAAATATCAACAACCGCAGATATGCAGATGATACCACTCTCATGGCAGAAAGTGAAGAGGAACTAAAGAGCCGCTTGATGCGGGTGAAGGAGGAGAGCACAAAAGTTGGCTTGAAACTCAACATTAAGAAAACTAAGATCATGGCATCCGGTCCTCTCACTTCCTGGCAAATAGATGGGGAAGAAATGGAGGTAGTGACAGATTTTATTTTCCTGGGCTCCAAGATCACCACAGACGGGGACTGCAACCAAGAAATTAAAAGACGCTTGCTCCTGAGGAGGAAAGCTATGGCAAATCTAGACAGCATACTAAAAAGCAGAGACATCACCCTGCCGACAAAAGTGCGTATAGTCAAGGCGATGGTTTTCCCAGTTGCAATGTATGGCTGTGAAAGCTGGACCATAAGGAAGGCCGAGCACCGAAGGATTGAGGCCTTTGAGTTGTGGTGCTGGAGGAGACTCCTGCGAGTTCCTTGGACCGCAAGGCGATCAAACTGGTCAGTCCTGGAGGAGATCAACCCTGACTGCTCTTTAGAAGGCCAGATCCTGAAGATGAAGCTCAAATACTTTGGCCACCTACTGAGAAGGAAGGACTCCCTGGAGAAGAGCCTGATGCTGGGGTCAATAGATGGCAAAAGAAGAAGGGGACGGACGAGGACGAGGTGGCTGGATGGAGTCACTGGGGCAGTGGGTGTGAGCTTGGGTGGACTCCAGGGATGGTAGAGGACGGGAAGGCCTGGAGGAATGTTGTCCATGGGGTCGCAATGGGTCAGACATGACTTCACGACTAACAACAACAACAAGGGATTTGGCTTCAATATGCTGGTTTTTGGGAGCCGTGCCCCTGTTGCCTTCGATTCTGCACACCACCTGGCTGGCAGTCCCGAGACCTTTTCTGAATCAGCACACAGTCCTCCGACTAAAAGAGTTCAGCATCCTCGACCTGGAACCTGGTATGTAGACTGCATTTCAGGTGCCTGCGAGGAGTTGCAGGTTTTCAGTGCGCAGCTGGTTTAACAACTTGTTTCAGTGCCTGACATGCACGAGGAGGCATGCGGGGAGCAGCAGCGCACCATCTGCACAGTGCTTGATCTGCCTTTGCTGGAGGACAGACAGACACGGAACAAGCCACGGAAGCCGGAAGGGTGCAAGTGCTTATCCTGCGCCGAGACCTGTTAATTTTCCCCTGCAGAACTGCTTCCCAGGAATTCATGATGTCCAGCTACTTGACATGTGCTCTGGCGAGGGCCTGCATGCAAACTCATGTCTTGAAAGCCCTCTGTCTCTTAAGGACGCCCGTGTTTATAAAAAGGATTTACACAAAGGGATGAGAATTGGATTTCTGAAAATAACCTCAGGCAGGGGATGGGGCATGAGGCAAGACTGAGGAACTGGGTCTCTTCAGCCTGGAGAAGAGGAGACTCGGAGGGGATCTGTTGGCGACATACAGGTACGTGAGGGGATGTCACACAGAGATAGGTAGAGACCTGTTCTCCCCTGCAGAGGAAGGCAGAACGCGCTCCAACGGAGCAAAGCTCAGGGAACCAAGGATCCATTTGGATGCCAGGAAGCACTTCCTGACAGTCAGGACCCTGAGGATGTGGAATGGGCTTCCTCAAGAGGTGGTTGAGGCCCCATCGGTGCGGGTGTTCAAGGACAGGCTGGACATGCACATGGTGGGCATGTCGTGAGTGGCGCCGGCTGGAGCTGGGGGTCAGACTAGATGGCCCGGGAGGCCCCTTCTGGCTCGCTCTGTTTCTGTGTTTCTAATTCAAGGAGGGGGCAGCAGAATGGGAGACACGAGTGATTTCTGGCTTCAGAGCCAGAGTGGAATGGGGGGGGGAGCATTTTAGGGAGTGGGGCTTGCGAGGAAGAATTGGGACTGTGGTGAGGGTTGACCTCACCCTTCTATTCCCCACTGTTTTCTTCCTGGAAAATGCCCATTCTTCACAGTGAGGAAAGCCCTGGGTAGGGGAAATATTCAATTTCCACATCAGATGTGGCCGTGGCATTTCTCCTCTCCAGAAAAGTACCCAAGAAGTATTTTACATACATACGCCAATGGAGAGGCTAAGGGTACAATCCTGTAAGGTTTAGGTGGACGCACCCCCTGCAACTCCGAACATGCACACTCTTTCTGCCTAAACATGCATGAGATTGTGCCTTAAGGGACTGTGCTAGGAGTCAAAAAACCCCTAATATAAATCAGACATGAAGTCGCTTCTCTTTCCCTTCGTTCTTATCTCCCCCATCTTCAAATACAGGTCTTCTGATTATAGTGGACTAATTTACAAGGTTGTTGTAGCAAAGGGTCTCTGTGCACATCACTTCTGGATGTTCAGCCTTAGCCTGCCACCTCGTGGAACACAGTGAGAAATGCGTGCAAAAGCACAAGGAAAAAACGCCCAGCTAGACTGGTGGAAACTGATTAGTCTTCTCTCCAAAGAGCTGCAGGCGAGCAAAGGCGGCAACAGGCACCAATGGGCTTCAGTGCCACGCTGAGCCGTATTTTCCAGCCTGGAGGATGCAGCAAGCAATCGTGGTGATGAGAAACCATAGAACAGGCCCTTGTTTCTGCTTGTGGTTTCCCAAAACCAAACATTCCTTGCAGGAATACCGTGAAAAGGTAAGACGCACCATGACGCATCGCCTCGTGCCCTTGCCCCTCTCCCTCGAAGTACGGCTGCTGCTGTCTCCGCACAGTTGACGCACCTGCTCCCACTTCCTCTGGTGCATCGCCAGAGAGAGCATTGCCCTTTTGGGATCTTCACGCGGATGCGAATGCCTGCTAGAAGGAAGGCTGTGGCGACACTGGGTGGCTCGTTCCCTCCAGAGCTGCAAAGGTTTATCATGGCACAAGGCTGTGTGGACTGTGCTTCACTTCACCAGGTGCGATGTCTGGGGTAAGTCCCACGTTTTGCTCCACGCAGCCTGAACGTTTGCATGTGACCCATGAGCAAGCTCCCCCAAGTTCGGGGAGACGTTGTGGGCCCCTTTTGGGATCCCACAACTGCTGCTTTCCTACCCGGTCCTACGCAGGCTTCTTTGCTTGGGTGTAAGACCCACGGAGCTCCCAGGAGCATCCCTCCGGATCGCGGCCATGGCACTTGCCTCGTGGTTTTTTGGGCGAGGAGCTGCTGAGTGGGAGGAAGCTCAGAACTGGCGTGAGTTCTTCTACGCAGGGCCGTGTACGTGGCAAGGGGGCGACCGTGTGGGTCAACACTGTGACATGGAAGGGAACAGGGTTGCCACCTTCTCCCACCAGCCATGCTCCTGTGCCTTCGAGGCGGCAGCTGGTGGTTCGTTCTTTCTCCGTGCCAAGGAGCAGGTGTGCAGCGAGGCCATTTTGGTCCCCAGCCTGGACGCGAGGATGGGGGCCGCCCCCTCGAAGGCAGCGCACCTCCCTTCAGCAGCGATGGACTTGGCCATCCTCCCGTTTGATGGCAGCGCAAATTCTTCCGTGCAGTTGGCTTTCCTCTTCCCACCCCCTGCCCTGCAATGACACGCACTCTTCCCATGTCGGACGGTTTGCCAGTCCTGCTATCACGTCTCCTAAAAGCAGTTCAGGGCTTCTGAGATCCTCACACCGTAATGGTGAGAGGTGCAAAGCGGAGCTGGGTTTTGCTTGTGCCTCTGGAACCCGCGGCCACTCTCTGGCTAGTCGTTTGCTGGCCGGAGGACTGCCCGGCTGCTAGCAGAGGGCGGGGAGAAACGCCGGTCCCTCTCCAGCAGCAGCGGGGTGCTGTACTTTAAACGTGCGGCGCACACCCAGGTCTACCGGACAAGAAAAAGCCGCGCCCAAACGCGCTGATTTCCAGAGAAATGCCCCCGTGTTCTAAGCCTGTAAAGCAGCCTTCCTCCTAAGGAGACCCCACGTGCAAAAAGGGATGTCTGGGCACGGGGGTGGGTGCTTGACCTCCGGAGGAATCCCGGGCAGAAAGGTGCCGGGGCAGCGGAGGGGAGCCGGGGCGGACACAGGCGGGTTCATCCGCGCCCATGCGCGCAGGTGATCCTGTGCCGCGGCGGCCCTCCCGAGAGCGGCGCGGCGAAGGGAAGCGGCGCGGCGCAGCGAAGCGCAGCCCGCCCGGCCCGGGGCTGCCGCCGCCGTCGGGAAGGAGTTAACGGCGCCGCCTGGAGACCCCGCCCTGCCCCGCGCGGCTCCGCCCCCGCCCGCGCGCGGCTCCGAGGCCCCAGCGGGACGCGCGCAGGGCGCAGCAGGACGCGCGGCAGCCGCAGCCGCAGCCGCGCTCAGAGCGCGCGGGGACCCCGCGGGGCGCCGCCAGCATGAGCGAGTTCCCGGCGAAGGTGAACACCCGCACCAGCACGCCCGCCGGCGCGCCCGCGCTGCGCCCGCCCGCCCCGGACCTCGCCTTCCTGCGCTCGCCCTTCGGCATCCTGATGGCCGCCGAGATCGTGAGTGCCGCCCCCGGCCCGGCCCTCCCGCCCCTGCCCGCCCCGGCGCGCCGCGGGGAGGCTGCCAGACAGCCTCGGGGCCGCCCGAGCGCTGCCAGCCAGGGCTGCGCCCAGGGCGCGGGGACGCCCGGCTGCACGCCCCTCCCCTCCCCTCCCCTCCCCTCCCCTGCTCCGCGAACTGGGCACCTGGCGGGGAAGGTACGGACATTCGCCCGCTGCCCGGTTCCGCCGTTCCTTCCCGGTTCCAGGTTGGGGCACGGGAGCAAGCCCGGCGGGGCAGAAGCGCAGGGCGGGCTCGGGGTTGCCGGATCAGGGGCGCGCGCCGCGGATGGCCCGGTTCGTGGCTGCTGCATCTCGAAGGGGCTTCCGCACGAGGCGTTTAGCGCGCCATCGCTGCGCCTTATTCGCGGACCTTGCCGGGGGCCGCGAATCGTCGCATCCGCTTTCACCCCGCCGGGGATTTCCCCACTTCCTCCGTCCTCTTTGGATGGGTCCAAGCCCCCATCCCCCGGAGCTCCCTGCATGGCCGAGTGAGGACCCGAACCCAAATCGCCTGTATCCCTGTGCACACTTTTAACCGCTAAATCGCACTGGCTGATGTTGGAGTGCAGGGGAGAAGCCTCTGAACTTATCCTAGTTTCTGGCAACCCCCAAAGGGAACGTAGGTCCGCGAGATATTTAGTCTGGTTAGGGTTAAGGGTGCTGATGCCTTCACAGCCTTCCCCAGGGTTGAATTCCACTCTCTGCTGGGAGGGCATTCTGTTCTAACACATCTGGAGAGGGCCAGGCTGGGGAAAGATGCTCTGATCCGATATTGCATGAACCGGGAAAAATAGAACAGGATGCATTTCTTCTGTTTGTTTCCCCCTAGATTATGAACCCTTCCAGGGGGGGACTTGCCCCTTATTGGCAGAATGGAGGGGCTGGAGAAATGGGAGGGAAGCGCTCCCCTTCCCTTGTTCCAGAGGTTTGGCCCAGTGGGTGTTTTCCTTAATTACACCCATCCGCTTCTCTGTCAGGGGGTTCCTGGTTCGCTTGCCCCAATATTCAGCTTGTGTTTGGGGGTCTGTCTGCTTGCAGTTGCAGTGACTGACCCACACATCCTCTTCCCCACTCCATGGGATCCACTCTGGCCAGTCTTCGCAATTTGGTGTCTGCTAGAGATGTTGGACTACAAGTGCCATCAACGCCAGCTAGCCCAATACAGCCGGGGGCTGCTAGGTGCTGGAACTGTGTAGCTAGATGCAACCTCTGCCATGTGCAGTGCACAGAAGCCCTTTCACCTGCTGGCTGGGGTGTGTCCCCTCCTTGGGGTTGGCTGCACCCAGCTCCAGGAAGCAACTTGGCAAGGAATGTTGGTGCCTCAACTAACTGCGCAGTGTTCTGGGGAAGGTGGGCAGGTCCTGAGTGGAGGAATGTGTGTGAGGGTGTGTGCAAGTCCACAGGGGTGGGGTGGGGTGGGGTGGGGGGTTTGTGGTTCTTGCTCGGCCGTCTCTGGGGAGCTTCATTATTTGTCAGTGCCGGTTGGGTGGGTGGGCATTTGAGTTCAGTGACAGCAAAAAGTCTTGCAGAAGACCGGCAAAAGGATCCCAGCACAAGCGTTTGTGGATTGTTGTGACAGGAAACTGCTGAATTACAATTCATCAAGAACAACAACGAATTGTGTAGCCCAGTAGTGACTAGCAAATTCATTCGTGGACACTGCCCGCTTCTTCAGGTGCTCAAACTGTTACGCTGAAAGACATTTCTCAGGCCCAAAGTGGCAGCGGAGAGCTGAACGGTGTGAGCAAAGTAATGCATTTGTTGCCACGGGCGGCCAAGGCGGCTTCTACTTGCGGCGACCCTGTGAATGTGAATGAGCGGCCTCCGTAACAGCCCATCCCTGACCGGCCTGCTCGGCTCCCCTCAGCTCCAGGCTGCGGCCTCCTTGCTGGGATCCCTCCATCCCATATTTAGTCCGCTCCTTCTTCCCTTGCCTTCGCTTTTCCCAGCTTTGTCCCCTCCAGTCAGTCCTGCCCCCTCATGTCCTTATCGATAGCCAAGGAAACGGACTTCGATCTGCGCATGAAGTGCATTTCTGTAATCTTGCATTGCTAGCTAGCCTTTGAACTGCCTGCTCTGGGAACCAATACGAGGCCAGTAATGCAGCCCGCAGCACTGGGGTTCGAACACCAGCTCGTCTTCCCACAAGAAACATGCCACGATGTAGGGCAACCAGGCCGTGGTGTGTGCAGAGGACCAACTGGATGGTGAAAAGATATGTTGGAGGGGGCCAACCCAATACGTCCGATGCATTTGACGATTGGCGTTTCTAGTATTAGTTTAAAATCTTAATAAAATCTTTTTATATATATATATATATATATATTATAATATATATATATATATTATATATATATATATATATATAAATAAATAAAAATAAGTAAGTAAGTAAGTAAGTAAGTAAGTAAGACCAAATGGACATAAAAAACTCCAGGGGACTAATTCTGTTTGAAAGGAGGATATCAAGGTGAACTTGGTGAAATTTGGCTGGATTCCCTGTGGAAGGAATGACAAAGGGGGGGGGGTGTTACAGTGCATATGTTAATTGGTTTCTTGTTGCAGTGATAACATTGTTATCCTCTTAGATAACCGTGTTGTAATTACCCAACAGTTTTTCAGGTAATCATCCCTCTTGCCGCCTTCCCCTGCCTCTGGGGACACCATTTCCCTCTCTCCCATCTCCCACCGTGTGTGTTTGAATCTCCCAGTTTGACGCTCACATCACAGGCATCTTCACAGCGTCTGTGAAAGCTCCTGCCAGAACAAATTTGTTAGACTTCTGGGTGCCACAAGGCTCTTTGTTGTTTTATTTTAACAGACCTAAGGCACAATTCTCTACAAGGAGCAAGTCATACAACTTCCAATGTGTCCTGGCCAACTATGCTGGGAATTGGGTGTTTGGGGAATGCTGGGAAATGTAGGCAGGTTGTGGGTGGGGGGGAGTCTGTCTAACCACGCATAGAATTGCAACCTTAGCACACCTATTCTCAGAAATTAATCAGTTCTTTCATGAGGACCTTGAATTTAAACAAAGGTTTTTTTGTTTTTTTTAAAATCACAGTACATTGCTAATTAGCTCTGGCTGCCAGATCTTTATATTATCATCCCAAAATGATTTGTTAATGACCACTGTTAATCAAGTAATTAGCATTTCCTACAATACATTCCCCCACCTCACTGTTTTCGTTCTGCAAACACAACTCTGTGTTTGTGCATTCAGAGTGTATCATGTTAAAATTCATATTTTAACAGCAAATAGCTTTATAAATATTTGCTTTGAGGGTGGGGAGGAGTGTAAAACTCCATGTTTAAATATGCAGTTAAAGCTAATTTTCTCACAGATAAAAAAAATGCATGGGACACATCAGCACAGAAGTATGAATGAGGGCGTGCAAAAATTACCTGTTTTTTGAGCCACAAGGAGACAGAGCTTAACTCTATGGAGTGGGCTTGGTTTAATAGTTCTCAGGAGAAGGATTTCTTGCCAAATTCCAAAATGTTTGGAGAGAGGTGGTCGAGGCTGCGCTGGTATGAAGCCAAGCGCTGCAATGCTCCTTGGGAGGCAGAATTGGGGAGGATGGGACTGGCCCGTGTGAACAACCCGCAGCGTCCACTTGCGCCTCGGCCTCCACCCCAGCCAGGCCTCTTTCCCGCTTTTCTCTTGCAATCTCTTTGGCTCCAATTTGTGGGTTGCCAGGCTTAAGCCGGCCTTTTTTAATCCAGTGCCCTCCAGAGAGGTTGATGCCGGGAGTTGGACCCTAGCATGACTGGGACTGGGCCGCAGGGCAGGGCAGACTGGTTTAAGGCCTCCCCCTTCAAACCAGCTTTGAAAGCACTCCAGAACCCTACAACAAACTGTGGGATGTGGGATGGGGAGCGTTTACACGGCCAGTGTCTGTCCTTCATTGGCCCCTGAGAAGCAACTTGTGTGAGCGAGCTGATTGTAACTATTTTGGGCTGTGCTGATTTTTGATTTTGACTTTTTTGGTGGCCCTAGACAAGGCAGGGCTGCCGGACCGACCTGGGGAGCGAGGAGACTTTGGGCAGCTCCCCTGCGGTGCTCAGAATCCAAGCTGTAGGAAATGCATGGCAACCTTTGAAACGGGAAAGCCAGCAAACTGCTGGTGCATTTTCGGTCAAGGGAACAGTGTGGGGCAAGGGGCCCAGGACTCTCATCATATCGTGGTGGGAGCCAGTTCAGAACAGTGCTTGCAAGGCGTGTTGGATGGGGGGTCACGAAATGTGAGTCCTGGCCCCCCCTTGTCCAAGAAGCTCGCTGGGTGGCTGCACCAGGCACTGCCTTTCCGCCTCACCTCCCTCACCGGGTTGTTGTTGGGAGCATAAAACAGAGAGGGCGAAGATGCCTGCAAGCCACTTTGACTTTCTTGGGAGAAACGAAAGGGCAGGTCGCCAGCTTTATGCTGTGAGAGAAGCAGTGCCCTGTTTGTGATGCAATTTCAGGAGCAGGCTAGCCAGAGTGGGACCTTCTAAATTTTCTTCCCCACCTCCTACTTTTGACAAACAATTTTTAAAAATTGCTTTAAAATCCTGCAGACCAGATGAGCTGCTCTCTACTTTTATGGCACCCCCTCAACTTGCAGAGTACTAATGGCCTCCCCCACCCCCAGCGACGACCCTGTTCACGGCTTGTCCTTAAGTGCACCTACTCAGGAGCAAGGCCCAGTCAAGCAGCTGGGACGACCTTCTGGGAAAGTGTGCTCAGGACCGTGGCGTCAGCCTCCCAGCTTTGCTTCAGGCGCCAGCCCTTGTGCAGCCCCCCTCCGGGGCGGGGGCTTCCCACGGCTTAGCTGGCTTGGACTGCAGTGCTGCGGGTGTGGGTGTCGCAGGTATTTCTACTATGCCAGCCATGAGAACAATTTGGAGAGGCATGAGAGAAAGCGGAGCAGAGTGAGGAAGGGTTTGGTGGCCCAGCCTGTCTCGGAAGGAGAAATGGG